GTTGGTTCTGACTTGACACTACAGACCTAACTAATTTCACTGAATTTCTCCAGGGGAAGAAAAATCTCTAAAATTTTCTCAGGTTTGAAACAGAAACCCTGCCAGCACTTCAGTAGAAGAAGAATGCAAAATTATCTCCCAGCCTTGTGTTTGGGAAGTCAGAATGGAAACAAAACACATACTTACCACCTGATGACCAATTGCAAAACAAAGCCAGCTAATTTGCAAGCTGCTGGGAATGAGAAAGGTGTATGCGATGACAAACAGATGCCTTTTAACACTTGAGAGTTTGTTGCTCCCAATAATGAGCTCTCTGTAGTTTCTAATTGGACTACATGGGTGAGACTCACAATCAATAGTGGTTACAGCACAGCTTTATCCTTTGGCTACCCCTGCCAATAATTTTTTTAAATTTTTTTATAGCATTACTTCAGACAGCACCAAGGAAGGCTGCCACAAGTTGAAGCGCTATGGCTGCCAAGCCAGAAGGCATAACAGAAAGGTGGAGAGACCCAAGGTGCTTTTGTCTGGAACCATAATCCATCTGGACCTGTCTCTAACATACATTCTGCTTGCATAAGTGCTAGACTTTAATTGCTCTCCTGTTCACTGTAAATTGCCGAATTATATTAGCGTACATGCATTGCACCCAATATTGTATGGTTATTTAATCCTGTATTTGTCTATTGATATACATAGTTACTTACAATTGTTTTTATTGCTTTTGGATCATTATACTTGTGATTTGATATGTTGTGAGCTGCTTTAGGCCTTTTTAGTGAGGAAGCAGGATACAACTAAATGGATGGTGATGATAACGATGACAAACAATACCCACTGTGTTGGCAGCCAGGCCACCACTTGGCACAAAACCCCTCCACCATGAATCATTCTGGGGCATTGTGATGATGATGGGGAGGCAGCCATGGCCCATGAAAGGTGGAGAAACTTTGGAGAATATTTTTTTCAGCCAAGTGTTCTGCTCCTGTGAAACAAAGAAAGAGGTTGTGGGGGAAATCTTAGGATGTTTCTCAGAAAAATGTCTCCTGAGAAACTTTGACTCAGGGGTAACTGTCATTCTTCAGGATTTTTGTGGCTGCAGGGTGATGCTCTTTCTCTGTTGGGGCAGCCATCCATTTCAGACGTGATCAGCTTCCTCCATAGACTGCACTTTCATGTGAGACAGAGGACCTGATTCATGTTTTTGTCATAGAAATAGAAGCAGCTGCCCTCTGCAGAACCTTCTCAGTCCCTAGCTCACAACTGCCTGCTCACGGGCTGCCATGGCTGTCCAAAATTTTAGGGAGGCTTTTTATCCTTTAGTGTTTGCATGTACCAAGACTGAAAGCCTGGCTTTCAAACAAGTGTCGGGATTAGAATTCAGCCCTTTGTGCATTATAACAGGAGAGAAGGCTGGAGGGCAGCTGATAAGGCATTTCTGTCCCACGCTTGCAATGATGCAATGCTAGACCTCTGTTGCTTCTGTCTTTTTGCTGAGAGGAGAGAAATATAAAACAGGCCAGCACTCTGCTTGGGATCTCCACTTTCCCCCCCTCTCCCCAGCCCCCTACTTTTCCCTTCCTATTTTGGTGCTAAAGTATAAGTGAGACCTCCCTATAAAGACCATAATGGGACTGTGAGACTTGTTAGAATAGACAACAGGTCTCCATGTGATGCCTGCTGAGTATTAGAAACATATGTTGGAAAGCCAGAGTAATTTTCTTCACAGACAAGAACTCTCAAGATGAGCCCCAGCAAACATTCTGATCCTGGCTTAAAAATAGCAGCGTGGAGGATATGGAAGAGAAAATATTCAAAAGTTTTCAGCATTAAATCCTTCTTCTAAAATGCCTAATCACTGGAATATTTTCTGGCCTTCCTTGGCTATTTTGGCTGTAATCACAGTGCAATATGGAGAGGGTAGAAAGAGACAGAAGTCAGTCATAAGTTGTTTGCAGTAACTTTCTAATTTTTCAGCTGTTCAGACTTTAAAAGTGGGCTGCTTCTGGGTTGTTGTTTTTATATGCCTTTAACAGACGGTAGTTTGGGAATCTGGCCATCCAAACATTCCTGTCCTGGGGTATGTGTGTGGCAGGGGATAGTACAAAGTGCTCAGATGGAAGAAGACAACCAAAATAGGATAGTAGTTATCCCAAAGTCTTGTCTCACCTTATCTACATCTTGATAAAGCCTTTTTGCTTTTGGGTTTTTATAGTCTGTCTATCATTATCCTAATTTAGTATAACAACTGTTCTTATTAACCTGTTTTTGCAAGCATTCCCATATTATTTTGGCAATAGGTGTGTACATCCCATACATGAGACACAACTGTTGCCTTCCCTAGTTGGTTTGAATTTTTCAACTGCAACATTACTATAGAAGAATACTGTACAAGAAGCAAAACCTCTGGAAACTGCATCCCTTTGCATGACAGCATGTGGAAATCAGCTCTGCAAATACATAACTTAAGGGGATGATAGTTCTCAGCCTGCAGTCCTTTCCCGAGCCAATTTCATTTCTGTATTATTGTATCAGAGCTAAGTGATAATATGGTGCCACAGGACACTAAGGGCCCTATTCAGAGATGGCTTGTGCCCCATGGAAGGGGCTTTTCATGTCCTGCCCGTCTGATTTGAAAAACCAGCCTTCCACGCCTGCCTGACATACTGTAACTCCTCCACAAAAACAGGGAGTTCCGGAGTTCCGGAAGTGTTCTGTATTAGTCTCTGGTCTTTTGACATGCCTGGCGCAAACCCAATGGGACTTCATTGTGCCATTGATACAAAGAAAAGCAACGCCATCTCTTTCTTCTCTGTCAGCTGCTGAAATAAGACGGTTTTAAGAACAAAGGGCCAAGTTGTGCCAAGGAACCATGCAAGAGGATTAGCACTTGCAGTGGGGAAAAAGTGGTGCTGGGGGAGGAGGGAACGCCACACGGCCTGACCATCCCGCCTTATTCCTAGCCTCGAATATATTTGGGGTTTCGCTATGTCACTCTTCAGAATGAACGATGCCTTCATTCTTCCTGCAAATCTTATTTCTAAAGTCTAATTTAATAGAATTAAACCCTAAGCTGCCTTGGTTTTAAGAGATAAAACTCCAAAGTTGATAACTGCACTTAGGAATAGTTCAGGTATTGAGTTTCTAATTTGCTTCCTGAACATGGAAATCCCTTAGATAGTCAATATTGACGACCTTTAATTGGTAGCAGAAGCTCTGGATGAGCAAATGTTTTGCCTGATGAAGGAGGAGAGCAGCTCCATGCATGTGTAAGAAACGAGGCAAGGATTCCCCCACTGGGGCACATTGCCCGTCAGGCTCTTCCTAGGTGCCCTTGAAGGGTGAGGGTCACAGCCTCTTCCCAGGTGTCTGATGTTTACTGCCGCTTTCATACCCGTTTCTGCACAGGTTGTAACCATCCCTACCTGGGTGGAAATGGCATTCCTAATTCGATAGTCATTCTCTGGGCAGATCTCTTGCAGGAACCAAACTCCCAGTCCAAGCTGGTGGCTTTTTGAAGCCTTTGTCTTGGTCCCACCACCTTTGCAGGTGCCTTTGGTGGGGACACGGGAGAGGGCCTTCTCTGTGGCTGCTCCCAGACTCTGGAACTCCCTCCCATAGGAGGCTAGGTTGGGACCATCTTTACTGGCCTTCCACCAGCAAGCAAAGACCTTTATCTTCAGGCAAGCTTTCCGTGAGTAACTGGCTGCCTGAGAGGGATTTTTTAAAAGATTGTTTTGCCTTACTGCTTAGAATGTGCTTTTAATATAGCTTTTGTTTACAATTTCTCAGAGTGGTATTGTTTGTTCTTTTTAAACATTGTTTCTAGATTTTAAAAATTGTCTTTAAATGATGTAAGCCCCCTTGGGCTTTTTTAAAGAAGAAAGATGGAGTGAAAGCATTTAAAATAAATAAAAATAAATTGAGGGTTCCCAGGCCAACAGCCTCACTTTTTCTGAGATTTCAGGACTATAACCAGATACTAGTATCTTTGTGATGTCACAGTGTGAGACCTTGCAATATTACCAGGGAGGGCCCTTGTGCAACCAGCACAAAATAATAGGTGCTCCAGCAGATGTAAAGGAGAGAATAAGTTACACAGTGTGTTTATTTCTTGCTAAACAAATATGCACACAGCTCACATACAAACATCCCACAGCCTTGTTGGAAACCCCAAGCACACCCTGGCTTGTGATAGTTTCATCCCTGTGCTCAGAATGACCTTATCTCCTGGGTATTTTTTTTTTTGGTCAAATAAAGTCAGCCACAATTTTGCCAATTTCTGATCCGCTCCCTGCCACACCTGTCTTAGTTAACCCTTGTGGATGATAAGGAAAGAAAAATGACACCCTTGTGGATGATAAGGAAAGAAAAATGACAATGATATTTGCCTTGTGTGTATTTTTCTAACTCCAGTGAAAATTCCAGCATATTCCATATCTGATCTGTGTGAAGAATCAAGTAGATCTCATTCAGACATCTACTGTACAATGATCACACAAAGTGTCGTAAGAGGAAAATAGAACTAGATAAAATGAAATGTAATAAAATGCATGCTTCTTGTACAGTAGTGTGTTTTCTGCTCCTGATGAATTTCCTCCAATGAAAGGACTTTCATACCGACCCAGGTTGATATTTTGCTCGTCTCCTGTCCTGCTGCTTTTGTAAATTGTTTTGGTGCCATTGGGTTTTTATACGGTGAGTGTTTTTAAGGGTTTGGTTGTTTTGAAATGGTTTTAACCTGCTGTTAAACTGCCCAGAATAGTGTTCTAGCACTTATGGGGCGGTACAGTATATAAATAAAATAAATAAATTTAAATTTGCGTTCCATGGGGCCAACCTATTGACAACCAGAATGAGTCCCTTCTGTTTGGCTGCCTTATGGTTTACTTTTTTTTAAAAAAAAAGGCACTGGGCTCTTGTTGTTTGTGTGTTTGTTTGCCTTGGTAGTCTTAAGAATTCCCCAGCAGTAAAAAAATGAATCACTTTTTTGTTTTCAGGAAGAAAACTGGCCACAGCAAGTGGCTGAAATCTGGGGACCTTGTTTGGATCCATGGAGAAAGCGATGCTGCAGGATCTCCAGCATGGAGCTGCGCCTCTGTTGCAGATCCATGAGAGTTTATTGTGCCTATCAAGGTTTCTGGGTCACTCATCATACTTTATGTTGCCATGCTTGGTTTATATCCCAAGCACAAGGGGCAAATTTGCTCTATATCATATATTCCCTTCATCTTGCCTACTCCAAATATCTATTGGCTTGGGTTCTTGTTGGTCCCCAACTGTTCCATAAATTTGGCATTCATTGTTCAACGACTGCCATTTTTACCAGCTTAGCTCCTAGCATCGCTCGCTGCCCCCTGTGCTTTTGTTATGAGAGCAGCTTTCACAGATGCTGCAATGATGCCAGATCAGCAGCGTCCCTGAGATGCAGATCCAAAACCTGAGACCAGAGGGCAGGGCCTTGTGAGATCATATGGTGGATCCGTGTGATGCCACAGAGGAAGGGTAGGCAGGATTTGGGAGAGAAGGCTGCACAACACACATGCAGATGCCTTTGTGCTGAACCTGTGAGTCCAGGTACTAGGAGGAAATGGACAGAGATGGTTGTCCAGGCTTTAAAGCTACCTGGCAAGCCTGGCAGGGAGCCATCACACAGAAAATCTGGAGGTGTTCAGAGAAATCATGATACAGAAAGCTGAAGTGAATGAATGATGTTTGCAGCCCAGAGAAACTGCTTTCTGGACTACAGTTCCCTGAAATGGCCCTACTGTCTCAGAGATTCTTGAGAGAATAATCCAAAAAAGCAACTTTAAAAAGCTTTGCTGAATCTTTAGAGAAAATTACGATCTAGGGATGGGAAGTTATCTATTCATTAATCCACTCTGGCCTAATTTTTCCCCCTTCAAAGCTGAGGCATTACTATGTTCATTCCAGCTGTAGATCATTAATGTGATGTGTGGACCCTTTCTTTACAACCTTTAAAAGCTGCCCAGTGAACCAGGCAACCATCAGGAAAAAAAGTTTTAAGGAAAATTGGATTGCTTTACCTTAAAATACAGCTTTGCCACAAGAGAGTGCCAGGATATTGAACTAACTTACAATAACACACTCATTGTCCATCCAAACCAACATCAGCATGGCACCTTAGTGCCCACATGGGACTGGCACAGTTTCCAAACTGTTCTACTTTTCGTCTTGTTTGTAAAAGCATTGGTAGGCAAAGAGCAGTCAGTCGGGCATTTACAGGTTGGAAGACGTCGGTGCCTTGTGTCTTGGAACCAAACAGTGAACCCACACTGGAGTTCCAGTGGGGACCTGAATGATATTTTTATATGTGTAAATGCCACCAATGTGTATCTTTATTAAAAACTGATTCCAAACAAGAGTTCATGTGTCTCTTGTGTGCTATGTGTGTTATTCTCTTTTTGCTTCAGCTGTGAAAAAACAGCATAACGGCTAGCAAAAAAATACCATCCAGTGACATGTGTCACCCACATGTCACAGATGGGAAGGAAGAAGACTTGGTTGTGTAAGATACTTTGGAGTTTTTATTCAAGATGAAAGAACATACACCTTGTACAGCCTGCGACTCATCCTGCTGACTGCTGAATGGTACTTTCTTGAATGGTCAGCGCAGGGTTCTGAAACATTTGGATTTTGGGATGACAGAATCCCATCACACACATAGAGAAGTGGAGTTCAGAATCCCCAAACATTTCCCCTTTCTGCCTCTGCGCCGTGTCTGTTTATTTTGCAGCAGCCCAGTTCCCCAGTGATTAAAAAACTAGGGAGACAGTTTTGGGAAACTGGAAAGACAGTTGGGGGGGGATCTAAGTGCCTTAATGGAGGCTATCTGCATGCAGAGTGTGCCTGCTGCACTCTGGGGCCTTCGTACTCCTGCACAGCCATTTCTGTGCATGAATGCATCCATTCTGGACTCCAAAATTTAACCTGTGGAGATGCTGCTGGGAGAGGGAGTGGTGGACTTGCAAGATGACTCCCAACATTTTAATCACCTAGAGTGCAAAACTACAACAAATGTGGGATGATTTTTTGAGGGTGGGGGGATTGGATAATGAGTTGTACAGTCATATACAGAACACATATCAAGGTGGGTTTTCAGGCCCTATTAATTTATATTTGGCTACAAACTGTGACATGGAAATATCATCTGGATGCATCTGGGTAGTTTTCAGCAGCCCGATGTTTCATCCAAATGGTCTCCCATGCACGCGCGCGCACACACACACACATACACAAATACATAGACACATTTCTGTCTTTTCCTCATACAGTATTTCTTTAAAGACTTCTTCACAGCATTTCTAACCAGGCCCTTAAGAGAGATGGTAAAAGGATTGGGAAAAACAGGACATGCCCCCAAACCCTCTCCTTCAGCCTCCTTTCAATCTCATGAGCAAAACGGAGGCTCCAGCTCACAAAGAGATGCTCCTTGGGTGCAACAGTCTCCCCTCCTTTAGGCAGTCCCATCTCTGAGACTAAAGGGGTGATGTTCAGGGGCTAGGATTCATTCACATCTCTCAACACATGCAGGATCCACGTGTTTTAAAGCATGACTGGATGATTACCGGTAACACATTCCATTCTCTCTCTCATTCAGTAATAAAAAGATAATGAAATTACATTTCAAACATAACATAGCAAGCAGAGCTGGTTACTTTACTGATGCACCATTTTCTATGGTAGTTAGTTCATGAAAATACTTTTAGAAGACATGTTTAAGCATTTTGAGAGCTTTTTTCCTCCCAGGCTTGGTGCCAAACTTTTAATTAATGGCTAAAGTTTTGTCTTTTCCCCCCTTTTCTTTTAAGGATGGAATAACATGGGGACAAAAAGACTTTTAAGGTTTGGTCTAATTTTTTTTATACTTTCCACCCTCCTTTTATAACCGCCATGCCTGAAGTAGGGGTCTTTGTGAACCCTAATAAAAATTTTGGGCTTTGGACTTTGTTTGTCAGTCAACAGTGATGTGTCTGTATTCTCCATTGCTTTTAAAATACAGTATTCCAAATAGGAGCAACACATCATTTTACCAAAAATCCAGTCTCTCTCTCTCTCTCTCTCTCTCTCTCTCTCACACACACACACTGCCCCTTCGAAATACAGCTTGTACTTCTGGGAATTCTTGGTCCACATACTGCTGAAGCCTCACACACACACACACACACAGTGTTTTATAGGTACAGCTGACATTATGTGGGACAAAGACAACGAAGAGGAGTGCTATTAAGAGGCTGTGTATAGCTGAAAGGCCAGGGAGTGCGTCCCCTTCCGAAGCATGGGTGCTTCCAGGCCAACAGCTGCCCTTCTCGTTTTTCATAAAAAGGGGGATAGCCAAATCTTGTTCCCCACCCACACCCTACACGAAAGAGCTCTCCCTTATTAACCCTTTGGGGGCTGGCTGTTCAGCCGATCAGCAATTGCAAATGATAAATAGATCCATATTGTTTAATGTTATGATTCACCAGCATTTATCAGATACACAGAGAGTGATTTATAGAGTACAGCATTTCAGGCTTGACCCTTGAAGGTTTCCAAAAGCACTTAAAAATAAATTTACTCTGGCCTCCTTCACCCCATTTCAAAAAGGGTGACAAAGATGAAGTAATTTATAAGTCACACTTTTATTAATGCTTTTAACTTTCATACACTTGGCTTTGTGGCCCCTTTTGAGTGGCATAAGTGCAACTCCTGGTCCCGTGGTAACCTCTGCTACTTTGAGGAGGGGGGCTTTGTACAAATGATCAACTCGTAAATAGGGGCTGTGCCCCTGCATTATCCTGTCGTAAATCCCCAGGCCCTTTTCTGTGTCTAGAGAGCACGGCTTCTCCAGGAAGGATTTTTTGGGCTCTGGCCTGCACAGAAGAAGGTCGTGTTAATGAGCAGCTGGCCCAAAGGTGTCTCATGAGCGTGGAAGGATGGCAAATGGCTCAGAGCATGAGGCTAGAGCTGGCCACAGAAAATAGAAACTGGGCCAACAGTACATGGCATTGTGGATGATGGCGGCGGCTGTGGGGCTTCAATAAGGGAGACAAGTGGAAGAGGAAGAGAAGGAGAACAGAGCCCTTAGGCATATCATGCTCTCTTCCAGCTGTACTGTCCTGCAGGGATGTTGTGGAGAGCAGACAGTGTAACTCCCTGGGCTAATGAGGCAGGAAAGAAGTGTCTGAAACCTATGGAGGAAAAGAATGAGCTCTGTTGACTTTTTCCAGAACATGATGGGAGAAATGTCTAAACGTCATTTTAGACAATGCAGATGACCGTCAAACACTGAAAGCACTTTAAAGCCATTCCCATTGTGCAAACCTGTCCCAGTTAAGCAGCTGATAACCAAACAGAAAACAAAGGAAGTGAATTGAATTTGCAAGCTACAGGAGCTGAGGAAGAAAGTTCCCCCCACCTTTCTCTTGTATTGCTGGACCTAAGAGGGTTCACAGCATGAATTAAAACAGATATAGTTTAAAATCCTAGGCTGAAATCCTGAGAAAGGAAGGTAATCACACCAGCCATTCCTGTCTCTGCTGGAGAGTCTGTCACACAATTGGTGGTTCAACTGGTCTCACAATCGATGCACAGCCAGCAAAACAACAGGCACCCCAGCAAAAGGGAGAAACCACTTCCATGAGTCCTATTTCATGCACATTTATTTCCAAAAGCATTCTGGGCATATGATGTTGCAATATTAAAAGACAATTAAATGAGCTATCATATTGAAAACAAGCAACGAATTAAAATAATTTGAAAGCTATTACAATTGATTCAAGCAATTAAAAGCCACTGACAATTACGCTGGCGATTTTCTTTTTGAATGAGTGTGTCCTAATTTGTCCTTTGATTTATGCATCGTTAAAATCAGACAGACTTGAAGAGCCCAGAGGGTTTTGACTGGCAAGTGGAAGTAAAATATGGTGATTTTAAAAAAAAATTAATTAATGAGTTGGTGAATGGAATCAGAAAACCTGAAAACAGCACAAGCCAGGTTGCATGCCCTTGCATCCTATGAGATGAATGAACAAAGGTCCATTTGAACTTTGAACTTTGAGATAATCCCTCACCAGAGCTGAGATTTCATTAGTGTTCAAGAGATGTGAGCAAAGCAGATCTTCACATATGGGAAATCAGACCTCCAAATGAAGCAACTGGTTCTGCCCTACAGTCCATTCACAAAAGAAAGCAAACCTATTTACAAATGATGAGAGAGTATGAAAAAAAAAATCTGCTGTGATAATCAGATAAAATTAGCTCTTCAATAATTCTTAAGCGATGAGTTAGCTATAATGTATAGTTCTACTCTTACTGGGGTGGGAACTTTTTTGCTGGGAGGGGAGCAATCTGAACCAGAGAAATGGCAATTAATGTAAGAATTAAGCACCTCTCTACAGTCCTGTGATACTTTTGAACCTCATATAGTATTTTCTATTTTGTGTGCCTATCAGCTGCTCTTTCTTAGCTGGACTAACAGGCTATCCAATCTAGGCATAGCTATCCAAAGTGTTGCATCTTGTCAGCAGAGGTGGGTGGGTGAAAAAAATGCATAGCAGCTTTGAGATTCAACACAAGCTCTTAATTCATAACTAACTGTAATGCAGAGTTTGTTTGTCTATTCAAATCAATATATTTTGCTGTGCAACAATATATTTTGTTTAGTTTTTTTAAAACTGGCAGTTTGGGGTCTTCTAAGTCAAGGCAATTCCACTGTTAATTATTTAAATGATGAAGTGTACCCGCTAAGAACAGAAAGCATGTGGCAGATGGAGTGAGAAGGAGGGAGGGTGAGGCATAAATTTGTGCCCTCAAAAGACTCCGCCATCGGACTCTGGAGTTGGTAGGAGTTTGGCCCAGGTGGTGTCTTTCGTCTCACCCTTTCCCAGAATCCTCCAGCTCAAAATAGGAATTGTAGCCAAAAAGAGAGAAACAGCTCCAAATCGTGGCCTAACCTACCACCCTGCCCCAAAGGCAACCATTTCTACTCACCAGGCTCTGCCCACCCCCATGAGTCAGCCCTACAGAGTTTGCACCATTTCAAGAAGACAATAAGTGCTGAATACAAACCTCAAGCGTGTCAGGGGTTTGCTCAATGTTATGCTCTCTATGAGAGGTGGTTGGATTACACAAAATGGGCAAGGAAAAGAAAATCCGGGAAAGGGTTCCCCTGCTACATTTCCAAGGACAGTATTTCCTGGCTGTTGTGCCCAGCTGGCATGCAGAGAATGACACTCAAAGAAGGCAGCTTTGAATTCGAGGGGGCTATGAGGAGCGCCAGGTTCCTGAGGTAGCGGTAATGGCGTGTGGTGCTTCTTCTTGGTGTTGAACTCATCCTTCCAGGGACCTGGGCACTAGGGATGAG